AAATGATACTGAACGCTATGGTAAACTTTACCGATCTCTCAGTAGAATTGGGTTCTTTAAGGGTATTGAGGTAAATGCATATTCGTAACCTGCATTAAAAATGGAACCCAAACCCAAAATTTCATCAATTTTGGTACACTGGAACTATTTAAATAAGTACGATTACATTTGCAAAAATCACCTTATTAGCGTCCCTCGGTGTCACTTTGTATGGGAGCGAGCTGTCAGTTTGTTAGTTTAGTGTCAAACAGTGAAGTTATTATTTTGCTTTAAATCTTGATTTAAAAATCGAGATGAAAGTGTGTGGGTTCGAAAAAAATATCGCTGTGCTCCGAAAACGAAGCTCTTTCAGATGATGTATAAAAAACGAAACATTTTTCAAAATTAAAGAACCCAATTTACAGTTCAGGTTGGACAGCCCATAAGGAAAGAAAATTTACAGAACGGATTGTAAATAATGTATTGTACCGAATGGATTACCGAATGTTCAGCTTCATCATTCATCAGGATTCATCGAGGGGGGCGACACATCTGAATCTCAAGTTAAGATGCTCAACAAATCGCACACTAGCTAATCAATCTTCGAAAAATCTTCTTTCATTTGTCGCATCTACTTGCATCGAGCATCATCTTTTTGCAGGAAATCTTTAGAATCGTCATAAATCTTCTTTCTATCTACTCAGCGTACGCGCAGCTAGCCACAGCAAAACACAATCTTTTCTGCATCGTAGATAGAGTCGTCCCCCTCGGGATTCATATACTTGTTCAATTGTTAACGAAGATCGAAGATGGAACGTGACAGACGTGAAAAAAAAATCTCATTCACATTTTGATGGACGATGAAACTTACGTAAAAATGAACTTTGGACAACTCCCAGACCAAAAAATTTACTTTGCGTAAGGGGGATGCTCCAGATAAATTCAAATTTGTCTTTGCAGATAAATTCGCTTTCAAGTAGATGATTTGGCAACCCGAAAAAAAAATTACAGTGAAATTTTCAGTGGAAACAATGCTCTAACATTAATATTTATTTTCGACAATAAAAATAATTGTTATAATGTTGTTTTCTTCAGAAAACGACAAAACTGCTACCTAGCTTAGCTGTCAATGAATGTACATAATAAAATGTTGTAATGATTTTTATCGTATTTTTCATTTATTTTTTGTTAACATGATTCGATCATGAACAATAATGAACAACTCTATTACAATAAAAATTGTTGTTACATTAAATATTGATGTATTTTCATTGTGGGTTACTTCACGAACAATAAAAATAAATCTGATTGAAGCATGCAGACTATGAGAGGGTCAGCAACACTGCCAATGTAATTAAGATAGGCGCTGCTCGTATGGCTCTGGCTTTGACAGTTCGTTTGGCTCAAAACCAGGCAGTCCGCGTCCGCTTATATCTTATCCTAGACCCTCTCTAAAGCTTAATGGAGACCTTTTCCGTGCAGTCAATAATCATACAATAATAATAAAAAATTCCACCACTTGAAGATGTCAGGAAGGAACTCTCAGGTGGAAGCATATTTCATGGGCGATTCTCTCCAGTCGAATGCATTAACTTATCAACGACGCTCAACCAACAATCAATACGAAACTAACGATTTTAAATTGGCTCACCACTTTAGTAGCCTATTGGTCCCAAGCAAACGATTAACGTACCCTATTCTAGTTGAAATTCTATTACTACACTATGTTTGTTTTGATTCGCTATGAAAGTTTGACAGATAACATCAGGGGTGTGTGGATTCATGCAGAACATGCAGGGGTGAGTGAAATAGCTTGGGACTTCTTGGGACCGTTGTTCTGGTACTGAGTGAGCCAAAAATAATAATGATTTTCTTCGGGACCCAGTGGTCTTAGAGTTACCTCTATGGCTCAACCACCAAGGAGACGTGACCTAGGGATATCGAGCGCAGGGGAGTTGGCCTGTATTTCTCACAAGTTCCGGATCGAATCTCGATCCATAACCAGTAAAAAAAGGACCACCCGTAACAGACATACCACCCCTTCCCTTCCCGGGGCAATGTTTTATTTTTTCGATTTATTTTTAAAGTCGATAAAGTAGATCCATAGCGGTAACTCCAACAATCAATACGAAACTAACGATTTTAAATTGGCTCACCAATTTAGTAGCCTATTGGTCCCAAGCAAACGATTAACGTACCCTATTCTAGTTGAAATTCTATTACTACACTATGTTTGTTTTGATTCGCTATGAAAGTTTGACAGATAGCATCAGGGGTGTGTGGATTCATGCAGAACATGCAGGGGTGAGTGAAATAGCTTGGGACTGCTTGGGACCGTTGTTCTGGTACTGAGTGAGCCAAAAATAATAATGATTTGCTTCGGGACCCAGTGGTCTTAGAGTTACCTCTATGGTAACTCTAAGACTAGTAGGTCCCGAAGAAAATCATTATTATTTTTGGCTCACTCAGTACCAGAACAACGGTCCCAAGCAGTCCCAAGCTATTTCACTCACCCCTGCATGTTCTGCATGAATCCACACACCCCTGATGTTATCTGTCAAACTTTCATAGCGAATCAAAACAAACATAGTGTAGTAATAGAATTTCAACTAGAATAGGGTACGTTAATCGTTTGCTTGGGACCAATAGGCTACTAAAGTGGTGAGCCAATTTAAAATCGTTAGTTTCGTATTGATTGTTGGTAGATCTGTCAAGCCAACACATACACTCTAAAGTACACTGTTATTTTTTTCAATCAATAAATTCGCCAACCAACAGTAAAATAACAATAATATCAGTGCTAACATTTGAAAACGGCCCAAAAGCTATTTGTAAATAAATGGTTTGTGGGCCCTTTACTCGCTACTCGAAGTACACCCACGCAACACAACAGCTACATCGGGTAGGGGAAATCTTTCCCTTCCTGACGATGCTGTTGGTTTGCGTAGGTGTACTTCGAGTAGCGAGTAAAGGGCCCACAAACCATTTGTTTACAAATGGCTTTTGCGCCGTTTTCAAATGTTAGTACTGATATATAATGTTATTGAGAAAAAAAATATATGGGAAAATCACGAAAATTTCATTGTTAAGATACTTAACAACCCCCCTTTTTTATTGTAAATTTTCCATTTACCATGAAATTTACTGTTTTGTACAACATAAATCAAGGTAAATTTATTGTAGACGTAACAATATAAATCATTGTTAAGACAATAATTTTCGTCTTATTGTTACATTGTTTTTTAATGTATTTTTGTTGTTATTTTTTTTTCGGGAAGGCATCTGCAGTTGCGGAAAGAAATCAAAGATTTTCATCACTGGAGCGATTATGAATGGACAACTTTACAAGGAGAAGTGTCTCCAGAACAAAATTTTACCGTTCATTCAATCACACGAAGGGCCCGTAAAGTTCTGGCCTGACTTAGCCAGCCGCGATGTCATAGAATGGTATAAGCAGAATAATGGGTCGTATGAATAAAAAGAGTTTACTTTACTTTACCGTGCTTTTCTTACGGGAGAAGTAAAGTAAACGCTTTTATTCATACGACCTAATAGGTTCGTATTGATTGTTGGTAGATCTGTCAAGCCAACACATACACTCTAAAGTACACTGTTATTTTTTTCAATCAATAAATTCGCCAACCAACAGTAAAATAACAATAATATCAGTGCTAACATTTGAAAACGGCCCAAAAGCTATTTGTAAATAAATGGTTTGTGGGCCCTTTACTCGCTACTCGAAGTACACCCACGCAACACAACAGCTACATCGGGTAGGGGAAATCTTTCCCTTCCTGACGATGCTGTTGGTTTGCGTAGGTGTACTTCGAGTAGCGAGTAAAGGGCCCACAAACCATTTGTTTACAAATGGCTTTTGCGCCGTTTTCAAATGTTAGTACTGATATATAATGTTATTGAGAAAAAAAATATATGGGAAAATCACGAAAATTTCATTGTTAAGATACTTAACAACCCCCCTTTTTTATTGTAAATTTTCCATTTACCATGAAATTTACTGTTTTGTACAACATAAATCAAGGTAAATTTATTGTAGACGTAACAATATAAATCATTGTTAAGACAATAATTTTCGTCTTATTGTTACATTGTTTTTTAATGTATTTTTGTTGTTATTTTTTTTCGGGAAGGCATCTGCAGTTGCGGAAAGAAATCAAAGATTTTCATCACTGGAGCGATTATGAATGGACAACTTTACAAGGAGAAGTGTCTCCAGAACAAAATTTTACCGTTCATTCAATCACACGAAGGGCCCGTAAAGTTCTGGCCTGACTTAGCCAGCCGCGATGTCATAGAATGGTATAAGCAGAATAATGGGTCGTATGAATAAAAAGAGTTTACTTTACTTTACCGTGCTTTTCTTACGGGAGAAGTAAAGTAAACGCTTTTATTCATACGACCTAATAGGTCGTATGAATAAAAGCGTTTACTTTACTTTTCCCGTAAGAAAAGCATTGGAAAGTAAAGTAAACTCTTTTTATTCATACGGCCAAATGTCGATTTTATTGAGAAAAGTATCAATCCACCAAATAGTCCAATATAATGATATATATAGATGATGAATCTTATGGTGATAACAATCGGAAAGAAATATTCACACATATTCCCGTTTTCGTTCGAACCGTATGGAAAATACGGTTCGAACTACAACGAGAATATATGTGAATAATATTACTAATTATTCGTATTATGGTATATTTTTATTCGGGCCACCACAATATCCCTAAAGAACCCAATTGACAATATTATTAGATATGATGGATTTAGCGTGTATGGTCTGCAAATAATAATCTTGGTTACAATGATTCTGTCGTACAACTTATGAGCACCCCTCGCTCCGAGATTGTCATTCTTTCACCAATGACGGTAGAAAAATAAGAAAAAATATATAGGATTCAGTGTTTCTCACTGTGTACGTGGAATTTAAACATTTTGTTTTTATGTGATTTCAAGATTTTTGTAATTCCAATACTTTAATGTAGAAATCAATCGTGTACGATGAAAGGAGCAATTGATAACGGTATTTAACTATAATCTCTCCTTGCAGTGTACTGTTGACGAAAGAAAAAACAAAAACCTGATAGGAAAGCAAGAAGCTCTTAATCTCGAATGAAAAGTTGATCGCAGCGGCAGCAAGTGGTTCACGCATAGGCGAAGGTCGTCAAAATTAATATTTTCTTTGAAAGCATCAGCCAACTGGCTGAAGGATTAGTGAAGATGCGTGCCCTCGGAATATCGGTCATCAGCCTTGCATTGACAGGTTTGGTGATCGGAAATGCGTACTATCAGAAGAAACAATTTTATCCTTCTGTGGTCTACATCACTAAGTCGAATCCCAGCATGGCGGTAAGTAAATACTTGATTAAAGTCAGAATGCACTTAATTTCAATTAGGTCTTACCCTAAAAGTGGCAGTATTAGCTGGCCGAATAGCAACCTCCATTGCAGAATACGTAGTACATACATGAACTCGACACAGGGTATGTCGGTTTTGTCTTGGGGGATTGGCTCATAGCAAACCATGTATTAACTAATTTACCAACTTTGCTAATACTTATTGTCACCATACAATAACTTGAATATTATGTCATCTTTTTCTATTTTACTTTGCAGGTAAACATATTTAAAATTTATTATGATTTATGTAGGTTCGCGGACTTGGGTTTGAGTAGTGTGCATTTTTGGTAGCCTCCGGTCTCTGAGTCAAGAATTGATCATTGTTTTCCGGTAGGATAGTGAAAATACCGTCGTATTTGACTCCTAATAGGTATTGCATAGACTTTGTACACCTATGCCATCTCGAGTATTTTTCACATTAACTTCTTAAGCTGACGCTGATTTTTTAGTAACTTAACTGTAATATTAATATTAACTAAATATTTTTGATTTACGGAGCTGCTTGCCCTACACACTTGTCACGGATCAGTTGCTTAGTTTTAAGTAGCTTAATTTAGTCAAATTGATGATTTAATTAAATGTATTGTGTGTTACGTGGGTGGTTATCGCCATTACAATATAGAGTCAACTCTCTAAATCGATATTAAAGGGACCAGAGAAATTCCAGCTAAAGGTTGGAGAAATTTTTGGAAGAAAGTCTAAATAAGGGATTTTCAATCATGATCCGTGCCGCTTCTACGGAATTTGATAATTGGTCAACTGCCGGTGGACGCATAACTCAAGATCAACATTTAAAAAGGCCTGACTTTGATGCCATTCCAATTTCTATACCGTCCTACTTTTTATTGCATGCACAACATCTTGCGATGGTACCGGGATTTCGAGTTGTGCGACGAATTAATAGACACGAATGATAGACACAACGATCGAAAATGCGCCTCAGAACAACGAGTCCTAACGCGAATTAGAATAGGACATATCCGGCTTACCCATGCACATTTGATTAACCACAACCCCCACCTGTATGTATGTTCTGCGTAGTGCACATAGTTCATCATATACAGTAGTGGAATGTCGGAGATGAACTAGCCAAAGGCTAAAAATCTCTTTTTTTCCTTTATTTATCGTCGGTCTCTGTTCCACAATTTAGTGTCAATCACCGACGGACATCGATTGCCATACATTGACGGCAATCGAATGTGCAGGAAGGCAGCTTCCACACCTGCGTAGGATATCGCACCCATTCAATTCAACACACATGGGCCGGGACCAACGGCTTTACTTCCTTTCCGAAGGAAGACGTGACCAGAGATTTTTGTGCCTCAGAAAAATCTTACCGACGTCGGCTAGGATTGAATCCGATATATAGTCGCTATATTTATAGTCTTCCGGATAGAATCTCTGGACCCATTTAAGCTGTCAAATAGCGGAACCAATCTAACATATCATGACCAACAACAGAAAAGAGCACAAAAGCTTTTGCGAACAAAACTTCGGAAACCGAACACCTACGTAGACTAAGGCTAGATAAATTTTCCCCTATCCTATGATGTTGTTAATTTGTTGGCGAGAAAAGAACTATCAAAGTTTTGTTAGTAAAAGTTGATTACCAATTGTTAGTCTACAATATATTGGATTGACTCCGCTTTTTGATCGAACTACTTTTATTGTTTAGTCCACTTAAATATTGACTTAACGATATTTTTTCTATCCATTTACATTTTTGCATTGTTTTTACGACTTGGTTTCGGACAATTTTTTAAGAATGCTTCATAAGAATACCATGCATAGATTCATGGTGAAATAGGATTGAAATATATTGAGGGTGGCACTCTTGCCTCGGGTGATCTTCTTGCCCCTAGTTCCCCTAACCGTTTCGGTATAGGCGCTCTTAAGGCCCACGCACAATAGATCCGGATCGGACGCGTTGCGGCAAAGTGACAGCTAAATCTATTGTCTAACTGTCAAAATTACGTCAACGCAACGCAAACTGATCTAATGTGGGTGGCCCTTTATAATGTGCGCAATGCGCAATAATAGTTTACTTCTGCTGCGTTTTGCAACGCTATGAATTCAATCAACAGATCACAGCAGGTTGTCTGAGAAAAGCGAAGAAAAGAACAATTTGAAACATTCTAGTAATAAACTTACTTACTTGTGATGATATGATGATGATGATGATAATTGTTTACCACACATTGTAGCACGGATACTATGTCCGATAGCAGTGGGCTCTCCTCATTATTTGACTTGATCAAGCTTAATAACCTCTGATTGTCCTCAACATGTCACTGTTAAAGGGCCAAATACGGGTTGGGTGGATCGAAAAGCAAAATCACCTATGCGCCTCCACGAGATAGTAAAGAATCTCCTTCCAGCAGCATGATCATACAATTGTTCAAAAAACAAGTCGTCGAACAGAAGAATTCCCCAATGAGTGTGGATAAGAGCCCGTCCTTTATCCATAAAATGTCAACAACAGGGAGTTGACAATTTAACTCTCCCCGTACAAAACGCTTCAGTTGGTTGCCCTGATGGTCCTTCTCAATCTCTAACATAGGTATAAAGGGTGTACCGTTTAAAATCCACACACACTCAGATTGCTCTAACTTTTGAGCCGTTGGGTAAAAATAATTTAAATTTTGCGAAGGCATAATTTAATGTGTATTGTTTACTCTCTGTGAGTTGATTTCATCAGGTGCGCCAAAGTTTTCAAAATGGCGACGAAAGAACAGTGCGTGCGTGAAAAACTTTTGCACGAGTACTTTGAGAATAAGGATCTGTCGCATCGTGCCATCGGAAAAAAGTTGGGAATCACGAATTCCACGGTGTCTGGAATCACAAAACGATTCGAAGAACGTCTGACTGTTGATCGGAAACGAAGATCCGGAAAAAAAAACCGTCAGGTCAATGAGAACGATCACAAACCCGTAGTTGGGATCTTTAAACGGAAACCGAACGCCTCAGTTCGAGATGCGGCTAAAAAGTTGCATGTAAGCAGACTTTCGTGCAGAATACCAAAACACGAGCTGAACTACGTACGTTTAAGGTTCAGAAGTCCCCAAACCGTGACGACAAACAGAATACGGCCGCAAAAATCCGTGCCCGGAAGTTGTACGACCAGAAGTTAACGAAACCACACTGCTGCGTAATGGATGACGATACATATGTGAAGGCGGACTTCAACCAGATTCTAGGAAACCTGTATGTGACTGCCAAGGATAAGTGTGATGTTCCCGAGAACCTCCGGATACAGAAGATGTCGAAGTTCGCCAAGAAGTTCTTAATTTGGCAAGCGATTTGTACTTGCGGAAAGCGGAGTACACCTTTCGTTACCGTAGCACCATGAATGGACAGGTGTATGTGGAAGAGCGTCTCCAAAAGCGGCTTCTCCCTCCCCTGAAGGCTTATGACGGTCAGACGATCTTCTGCCCGGATTTGGCATCAGGAAGGACGTGCTAGAGTGGTATAAGGCGAATGATGTCGATTTCGTGTCGAAAGATCTGAACCCCCCAAACACTCCGGAACTGCGCCCAATAGAAAAATACTGGACCATTATGAAAGAGCACCTTCTAAAACGACCAGAAGTGGTGAAGAATGTAGAAGAAATGAAGAAAGCATGGGTTAATATGCAAAAAACTGTCGATTCTGAGGTCGTGCAGTACCTTATGGCTGGGGTTAACGCCAAGGTTCGCGCATTCGGATATAAAGGCGAAATAAATTAAATGAATGATGCCAAAACTAACTTTAATTGTTTATTTGGAAATTTGGTGATAATCTAGAATTTTGAGAATGAATTTTGTGTGTGCGGATTTTAAACGGTACATCCTTTATATAATAGATAATTAACAAGCTTAGTGTGCCCGGCCTTGCTCGGGATTCAATATTAGCTTGAGTTTATGCGCCAATTAAAAAAAAAATGCATGTACGTAGCCCCCCCCCCCCCTCCCCACTCTTGACCTCCACATGCCAAATTTGGTTCAATTTGCTTGATTAGTTATGCAGAAATTTATGTTTCATTTGTATGGGAGCCTCCTTTACAGCAGAGGGAGGGGTCTCGAACCTTCATAAGAACCTTTCCCTGCCCCAAAAACCCCTGCATACAAATTTTCACGGAGATCGGTTTAGCAGTTTCCGAGCAGACAGACAGACAGAAATTCATTTATATATATACCTATATATAAAGATTTTATATAATTATGTAGATTATGAAATAATCAGAGCAAAATAATATAATTTTGTCGCCATCTTTCTCCTCCTCTTACTAATAGATGCTTTTTTTACAGCAGCTACTGTGTACAATCTTCCACTAATCACTAATTGATTCTGCATTATCATAAAAAAAAAGTCTATTCGGAACACAGACACTAACTTTCTTTTGTTTAGTTGTAGTTATTTAAAAAAAAAATAGCTATAATTCTACAAAAACGAACCGTGACCGAAGCAAACAAACACATCTAGCCACGAGCACAGCACCTTCGATCTGCTTCTAAACACGTATTTTACTTTTGAATTTTTGATCCCAAACCTGAAAGTCAATAAAACTTTTCCTGTTGGATCTGGGACGTCTATGAAAAGCACAGTTAGCGATAGGCAGGACCATGTCGGAGAGATCGGGGGCCTCCATCATAGAGCCTTCCATAATGCTTCGATTGAAAAGAATTCAGTGCTCCAAATTACATTCGCCCCTCCTGTCATTTCATAAAATGGACTAAGGGGAAATGTCTCTAATGTTGGCCTATGGATCGTGTCAGTGGGACGGTACTAATGGATATTTTTGATCGCTATTGAAAATTTAGTCGACTGCTGAATTTATGTTTGGGCCCAAATTAGGGGCATTTTGGCCGACATTACCTAGCTGATGCAAAAAATATTTGCATTTTATGTCAGGTTATAAATCCTAATAAAAAAAATACCATAAACGAACGATAACCCAAACGATTGAACATTTCCATTCCAATGTATGCAGATTTAAATTTATATTTATGTTGTGTTTTCGATTTTTTGTAATACTTTACTTTAAAATGTTTCTAGGTTATCTACATCCAATCGCTGGTACTAGTCCTGATGTTGGGAAAACTGATGAAGAAAGTTTTTTTGGGTACACTGCGAGCAGCAGAGTTCGAGCATTTAATGGAGAGATTTTGGTACGCTCTAACTGAAACCTGTTTAGCTTTCACCGTTTTCAGAGATGATTTTAATCCGAAATTTGTTGCATTATTTACCGTGTTGCTGTTTTTAAAGTCATTCCACTGGTTAGCTGAAGACCGCGTTGATTATGTGAGTTTAGTGTTTGGTAAGACCCTAAATGTGTGTATCCAATTGTTACTATTTGCTTATAGATGGAACGAAGCCCGGTGATTGGATGGATATTCCATCTAAGGGTTGCAGGGCTGTTAGCGTGCTTAGGTGTACTGGACTATCAGCTCATTTCATACGCATATCAATCTACAATTGCCAAAGGCGCAACTGTGCAGTTGGTCTTTGGATTCGAATATGCTATTTTGATGACCATGGTGTTAAATACAGCCATCAAGTACATGTTTCACGCTGCAGAGCTACGTTCCGACACCCCTTGGGAGAACAAGGCAGTATTTCTACTCTACACGGAACTTATCATTGGATTTATCCGAGTGGTTCTGTATGTAATATTTGTTGTATTAATGGTGAAGATCTACACCCTCCCACTTTTCGCATTTCGACCAATGTACTACACAATGAGGTAATATTACTTAATTTAATGTTTTGAACATGCGCGCTAATCAAATTTATTATCATTGCAGGAATTTCAAAAAAGCCCTCAATGACGTTATTTTGTCTCGTCGAGCTATTCGTAATATGAACACACTATATCCCGACGCAACCCAAGAGGAACTGCAGCTGTCCGATAATATCTGCATCATCTGTCGTGAAGATATGGTCAGTAATTCGAAGAAGCTACCATGTGGACATATTTTCCACACTACTTGCTTGCGGTCCTGGTTCCAACGACAGCAGACCTGTCCAACGTGTAGACTTAACATCCTTCGAACACCTATAACGACTACAACTCCTAATGCGGTTCAACCAGTAAATAACGAACCGGCCAATTTACCCAATGCAAATGAAGGAAATCGATCAAGCACTGCAGGAAGTGTTGGAACAACAGCAGCTATACAAACGAATGGTAACCTGATATACACTGAAGTCTTTTTAATTTCAATTTCAATCACATTACAGGTATACCTCGATATAATGTAACTGTAACTTTTGACTTCCATCGTCGATATCTCACAAATCAGTGCCTACATTTCATTGGGGCGAAACTGCTGTTGTGAACAATGACTTCGACCGCCACTCCTGCTAATTAACGATGTCATTTGGTAGAAGAAACATTCTGCCTGATGGTGTCGCTAATAAACATGAATGAGCTTTTATTCGCGAGAAATCGATGGCTAAAGCCATTGTTTACAAAGCCAATTGAAAAGTTGCCACTGAAATATCAATTCAGTCATACAAATTGGCATGCCCAATAGATGGAGGATTGTCTCATATATCCGATGGTGATTTAATGAGTAATAGCTTGAAATCAGCGATGTCACAAGTGACAGTTACGTTATATCGGGGTATATACCTGTATTCGTTTTGGGTCATTGTTAATTAAATGGCAAAACTAAAATTATCACAATGTTTGGTGAAATTCCAGAAATTGTTTGAATTATATGATAATTCAACATTTAAAAATATTTTAGTATGTGAAAGTACTCAATCTTGGTAGGTTTTTTACGCGTTTAAACAATCTGAAGCTAACCTCAACTTTAAGTCATAATTCTATTGTTTCTTTGAATGTGAATCGAGGCAATCTTCCAAATACTTGATTGTACTGTGCACGTACCTACTTCAACAAGTCTTTAGGACATTACCCAGAATACTCCATTACCTCGAATTCCATTACCTCAAATGTATTATTACCCCAAATATCGAGAAAAAAAATATTCAAAGATGGAAAATCTTTATTTATTTATCAAGTTCGTTTATTTGTAAGGCTCAATCGCGTTAGCTTTACGGAGCCGATAATTAATTGTTCGTTGTTTCAAACAAAATTCACTTAATTCTATGCCTGGTGGGAGTTGGGCCGTATACTCGCGGCTTACGCGATGTTAGAGGGGTACATTGTCAAAGGATAGGATCAGGGGAGGAGCATGGGTTGTGATTTCGTTGTCTCAACAGAGCGATGTCGCCAGTATGAACGATAGTGCAGTTATTTTGTTTCAGTGGTGCTCGTTCGAGTCAATGAATTTTCCCATGCTTGGGTGGGTGGTAGTAATATTTATATGTCTAATATACTGCCGGTGGACGCATACTTGTCCCATGTTCTATAGAGTTTCATATACACACGGGACAATTATGCTGGTTCCTAGATACGCCAACATAGCAGATGACACGATATATGCACTTAACAATTACAATTAATATTCCCAAGCCAAGCTTTATGTAATCAGGCTGGATTGTAATGTGAATTTATAAATAAACTAATTTTTCTTTCCACAGCTTCCACCTTAAACGCTGCAAATTCTACCTCCGTTCCATTGATTCCCGGAGCTCCGTTAGTATTTCCGCCAATTCCTTTCATGGGTATTCCACCATATGCAATGCCCTTACCACCTGCACCACCTGCCCTTGACACCCTTTCCGACGATGAATTGCGTGCTATGGAAGGAAACGAACGACAACACGTCGAAGAACGAATCAAAGTATGTACTGTCTTGATGGTGGGTAATATACAATGTTATTGCAATTATATATTTCCCGTTACAGCATCTTCAAAATATTCGCACACTGTTGGATGCATCGGTGGCACTTATGAACCAGTACTCTGCTCTGGTAGCTCGTTTACCTCCGGTTGCTGCTCCAGTAGAATCCATTGCTAGCACTAGCCAAGGATCAGCACCATCAGTTCCAGCAGATTTCACTAACTTGGTTAATCCATCAGTGATTGCAAATGTGCCGCCAGCTTCCGTGACTACTCAGGAAATAGCAGAAAACAATTCTTTGTCGCCGACAATCACCCCTACGGTAGCCAAACTAGAGGATCTTGGTAGTGATGACGATTCCGTTTCGAAACTCAATAAAGAACCTTTACCTAGTACCAGCAAAGAATTCCTGATAACTCCAGATCAGCAGCAGCAATCAGTGCCAAGTACCTCGGTGAGCAGTAACAGTAACAGCAGTAGCACTAGCAATGTAAGGCATGCAGATAATTCTGAAATGAGTGAAATCCGTCGCAGACGTCTGGAGAAATTTGGTTCGCGGCTAAGCTCTGATTAAAAGACGTTAAAAACTTATGAGACTGGTACAAGTCTGCTGATAGTTTAGGCTGGTGATTCGATAAGGAACAGCTAAACCTATGTATTTAGTTTGATATTTTCATTCTACTGCATTATGTTCCTAAGATGGAAAAAAAAAAAAATGCTTATTTTATGTTTGTTTTCAGAGCTTCAATTCTTTTACTTGTTCCGTATGATTTGCATTTTTTCTTCCTTATGCGCAAGTTTGCTAATAGGTAAAGAAAGAGTAGGTTTGTTCTCGGTAGCATCATTGCACCAATTGTGCGTCGATAGCAACTCGTGTTACATGAGCTGTATCATAAACAGTGAAATTGATCATAAATTTTAACAATATTTGTAACTGAATACGAGACACACAAGATAAAAAAGAACTGTAGTAGAAAGAGAGAACACAAAATATTGTTTATTTAAAATGTACTAGCTAGTGCTGAAAAACGTTCACTATTTGTAAATGTAAATATTCCTACATCTCAATAAATGTAAAAAAATAAGAATTTTGTGGTTTCATTCATTTGATTTCTACATGTACACAGGTGTAAGTACGGGGAGTATAATACTGCCCATAAAAGCATAACAGTCACATCTTTACTTGACTTCCTATTCAACTGGGATTGTTATGCGTATATGGGCAGTATGCAATATAGTATAGCAATCAGTGCTGAGATTTGTCATTGTCACTGACAGACTTTCGCGCGATATTGACTAAATTGTTCGTCACATAGTCACTGACAGACTTGATCCTCAAAAAAACCTTCGTCAAAAGTGTAATTTAGTACATTCTGAATCACATTATTGTTATCCAAGTAGCTCAGGACGTAGATACTTATTCACTAAAATGGATCCATGTTATTGTTTTGCTCAAGTCTTTTAATTTCGTTACAAATTTAGCTAATAAATAAATCTGCACATGTTCGTCACTGACAACATTGTCATTGACAATTGACATGGTTTGCCTTGACTATGACTGCTGGCTCCAATGAGTGACCAAAGCAGAATTGTCAATATCACCGTGTACTGTCGAGATTTTGCAGCACTGATAGCAATATAGTAGCGAGAATAAAACCTAGCAAAATGAAGGGGCACCAGATGAATTCCTGTCCCAAGGGGCAGATTAAATAGGACGTCCATTATTGAATCTGGCATCGTTCTTCTTCTTCTTCTTCGCATTTCAAGCTTATTGCATATCGCATATTAGCTTATTGCGTGCTCTCAACTTAGTGTTCTAGATGCACTTCCACAGTTATTAATTGAGAGCTTTCGATGTTTGCACCATTTTTGCATTGGTATAATTGTGTGGCAAGACCAATCATACTTCTATGCCCAGGGAAGGCGAGAAATTTTCCAACCCGAAAAATTCCTAGACCGGACCGGGAATTGAACCCAGCATGGTTTTGCTTTGTAGCTGCGCCTTTACCGACTGAGCTAAGGGAGGCTTCAATCTGGCATCGTTGGTGCTACTTATGTAACTCTAAAACTAGAAGGTTCCGAAGAAACGTGCTCGACTTTTTGACTCAGCTTTGGTACTATCTTCAGTCCCAAGCTAATTGATGCACCCCGCGAAACGTAGGAAAATCCACAAACCTTTAATTTTATCAGTTAAACTTTCATAACGAATCCAAACAAACATAGCGTAGCACTAGAATTTCGACTAGAATGAGGTACGCTTATAGATGTACTTAGCACCAATAGGCTAGTCAAGTAGTGAGCCAAATTAAAATCGTTAGTTTTCACCGGTTGCTAATATGCTGTTATCTGTCTCTATAAATTCCAAAGAGTGAGGGGTCTGGTCCAGGTCAAGGCAAAAGCGAGCAGCCGCCCAGAATGGAAATCTTTCTCGTTGGCCCTATACACATGATACATGAGTGAGTGAGTGTTAAACGCTGTCCAGACTGGAGAGTTATAACATGTTATAACGGTTGTCAAATAATTGCAACACAGAAACGACCATCAAGATAGCGCTATAACATGTTATAACTCTGTAGTCTGAACGTACTATTAGCACAACCGCAAATGCGACACTATGTTAAGAGGTCCCACGTCGGAACACCGTGAAAAACTTCACTAAACCTATAGAACCTCAATATCAATCTTCCAGAACAATTGGGAAAACTTGTTGCGCTTCCTATATGTTACTTTATGTTTTTCATAGAATGCAACTAATAGTACGTTCAGACTACAAAGTTATAACATGTTATAGCGCTATCTTGATGGTGGTTTCTGTGTTGCAATTATTTGACAACCTTTAAAACATGTTATATCTGCTCAGTCTGGCCAGCGTTTAAGCTTTTCGATCATTATTGTACAACAATATTTGGGTAACGTACCCATTAACTAATGTTGAGTCTGTAAACACAATGATCAGAACTTCAGAGTGATGTGAACGTCCTAGATTATCGTAAAAAAAGTGATCAAGCAATCTTTTTTTTTTTTTTTTCCTTTATTTAACGTCGGTCTCTGTTCCGCAATCTAGTGCCAATCACCGACGGACATCGATTGCCATCCATTGACGGCAATCGAATGTGCAGAAAGGCAGCTTCCACACCTGCGTAGGATATCGCACCCATTCAACACACATGGGCCGGGACCAACGGTTTTACTTCCCTCCGAAGGAAGACGTGACCAGAGATTTTTATGCCTCAGAAAAATCCCACCGACCTCGGCTGGGATTGAACCCAGACCCATTGGGGTGTTAGAAAGCAGTCACGCTTACCACTACACCACCGGCGCCGGCCGATCAAGCAATCTAATCTGAGGCAATTTAGAGGGGGGTCTCAGTAGTGCTGGGTAGGGAGTACCACACCTGGAAGATATAATGAAATAAGAAACGGAGAATAGAAAACATTTTGAATAATTATTTCTCATTTATTTCACTGTAGCATTTTGAAAACATACACACACTGGTATGTTCCATACTACATTGCATTCACATAGTTAATATTGGCTTCTTCCAATCGTTCCATTTCTCTCGTATATAAAGTAAGCAAAGTAAACGCTCAACATTAATGCTATCATTTCTATTAGTAGAATTAGTTGAACGTCACAATAGGCGAAAGAATATTTTAAAATAAGTTCTCTACCCTAGAACACCGTATAAATCCACGAAAGCGTACTAATATCTAAATGGTTGGTAAATGGTGATCGGAACGAAGGTAAAGGTTCTTCTGCGGTACTCGAGACTCTTGCGTCGCCGGCAATTGTGGTAACGAAGTGTTGGAGATCTTCGATTTAGACTCTCGATTACTTTGCTTTTGATTTTCCAAGGTGATGGTTTGCTCAATCTCCTTCTGCTTGCTGACGTAGTCCTCAAAGTAAGAATGTGTAACAAGCCTTTCGCATGACCAACGCTTTGCAGGATCCTTATCAAGACATTTCTGTGAATGCAAAGTTCAAGCGTTACTGAAATACTGTTTAACTTATGATGTGTGAACGGATTACCTTGAGAAAGTCCATCATCATAGGGTTGGATAGCGTTCGTTGTGGCATCTTAGTTTCCAGTGGTTCGAGCGTTGGAGGAACTGGTAGTGTGATACCCTGTGTGTTTCCATTTGAATGTCTAGGTTGTTTTTTTTTAATATGAGTGTTTAAATTACCTTGAAGAATTCATTTTGATTGAATATTGCTAGGTGCCGAGGTAGAAGATCGCCGAGAGTGCGCCGTATCAGGTAAAGCTGATCGACGTCGCTTCTTCCTGGCCATAGTGCATCTCCTCGTACCAATTCGGCAAACACGCACCCAATAGCCCACACATCCACGGGCGTTCCGTACTGTGTGTCGCCAACCAGCAACTCTGGTGCTCTATACCATCTAGTGGCCACATAGTCTGTGTAGTTTTCTCCAGGGCCTGGAATGTAATAATTAGTGCACGTCGTAATTTGTCAACTCATACACTTCATACTTAACATCCGAGCGAATCCGAAATCACACAGCTTTACTTGACCCTGGGCTGTTAGAAGAATATTTTCAGGTTTGATGTCACGATGCAAACAACCTTGCTTGTGGCAATATGCAACTCCTTGGATGGTTTGAAATGTAATCTGTTTTGTAAGATTATCTGGGCAGCCCTAGAATATAAATGATTTGCCGAATTAACATTTAATATAAAACGTTTGACGTTTGAAGTTTTTAGTTTTTGCTCATAAACTGCCATGAGTCTCCATTATTCAAAACCTAATATTTTGTACCTCAGAAACGAAAAAAAAAATAGGGGAAATGGCTCTAATGTTGGCCTTTGGATCTAAGATTGGGCCCATCGCTAAAAATCTGCTATTTATCAATTTTATCTAGATGAACGCGTCATTGAGACGGTACTAATGGATATTTTTGGTCGCTATTGAAAATTTATAATTTTTTGCTGAATTTATGTATGGGCCCAAATTAGGGGCATTTAGGCCGACATTACATCCATTTCCCATACATTGCTGAATTTTTGATTGTGTAAAAATGTCCAAATTTCCACGAAAATATATAACATGCAATAGGAAAAATGCTGATTTTTCGGATTACCCTAACAATATGAGTCTAATATAAAAAAGGAACAAAATTACCAACTGTTACGAAATTTTAAGACCCGTTCAATAGAAGATATTAACCGGGTATTTGAAAATCCACATGAGTCCATTTGATACAAATTCTTCATTCCTTTATTTAAGTCGGTCTCTGTTCCACAATCTAGTGCCAATCACCGACGGACATCGATTGCCATCCATTGACGGCAATCGAATGTGCAGAAAGGCAGCTTCCACACCTGCCTTTATATCGCACCCATTCAAACACACATGGGCCGGGACAAACGGCTTTACTTCCCTTCCGAAGGAAGACGTAATCAGAGATTTCTATGCCTCAGAAAAATCACACTGTGCAAAAGTTATGAATTGGTTCGTGTCTGATCTATTCTGGACAAACTATTTTTATCTAGATAAAAAAATCCTATGGTTTTGACCGAGGTTTTGACAGTTCGGATCACTGCACATTTAAATCATAATTAAGTGTCATGTCGGTTTGCCGGTGCTATTGCCTTCGAGATTGCCTTAGCTTGGTTCCGGGTAATGAGAAAGCGGACTCGTTGGCTAAGGTGGGCGCTATGGAAGGCGATATTGTTGAGCGACAAATTGCCTTCAACGAATTTGTCTCCATTGCTCGTCAGCAAGTCCTCATCAGTTGGCAACAAAAATGGAATGATGGTGATTTGGGAACATGGTTACATTCTATTCTCCCACAGGTGTCGAACAAACCATGGTTCAAAGGGTTGGATATGAGCTGCGACTTTATACGCGTTATGTCAAGGCTTATGTCCAATCACTGTTCGTTAGACTTGCACTTTTATCGAATTGGGCTCTCAGGCAGCAATTTATGTGCGTGTGGCAGTGGTTACCATGATATCGAGCATGTTGTTTGTTAATGTACCCTACACCGTGTTGCCAGATCTGAGTTATCCACATCCCTCAGGGCCCGAGGAAAACAACCAGAGATGTCTTGGCTAGCCGAGATCTCGACTATTTGAATTTAATTTATGTGTTTTTAAAACGGATAGTTCTGATGATTTAGTAGTCAGTGTCATCTTGTGTTCTCCCAAGTTGTTAGCTGCCCATCGGTGTACCCCCATGTTTGTCTTTTTCATCAGTATGTCGCTTAGTTCGAGATCAAGAGCACATTGCTCTCCAAACCATGTGTTCTCAATCCCTACCCTGCCATCCATTTGTTACAATTTGTTACCCCTAACCTCGAGATAGCCGCGAGTAATCGGCCCCCGCTTTAATAACGTTAGTTTTAAGTAATTGTGTGATCTAAACAATGAATATTGGCTCCGCAATGAAGCTGAAAAAATAGACGCGTTATAATATGATTAGGGACGATGAAAATTACCAGCTGAAGCTACATGTCCCTCTCTTCCTAATCTAGTGTGCAATGAGAAGTAAGGGACGGGAAGTGCTTGTCGCGAATTTCCACTGTCACTACTCATAATTCCAGAACAACATGTGAAAAGGGCATACAAGCTTTTTGTAAACAAACCTTTGTAGGCCCTTTTCTCACCAACCGAGGGTCGCCCACGCAAACCAGCAATATCATCGGGAAGGGGAAAGTGTCCCCTACCCGGTGATGTTAAAGGTTTGCGTTGCTGTCATATGGGTGGCAAGAAAAGGGCATAAGAAGGTTTGTTTACAAAAAGCTTGTATGCCCTTTTCACATGTTGTTCTGGAATTTACCTTAATGACCAAACGCCAAAAAAGTCTATAACTATCTGTTACTTAAAAAAAAATACAAGTTACCCTCAAATATTATTGTAGATTTGGAAATTAATTAATTTTTTGTAATTATTTACAGATATCTGTGAAAAATTCACAGATATTTGTGAAAAACTACAGGAAATCTGCGAAACTATTTACAGAACGTTCAGCTGTTGAGATTTCGTTAAAATTTTACAGATTTCTGTAAAAATGTCTAAGTGTGAAGGTTTTTTTTTAATACTTTATTATTGAGATTTTTAGCACTTTGCTAGTTCATTCTTAAATTTACCAAGGGCTTATTATTTGAGTAGCTCAAAATAATTTGCGACTACGTTGTGTGACGTTACAACGTTTTGCACTTCTCAACTACAGTACTCAACATAACGAAATGGACGTGACGACCCCGACGACCGACGAGAGTAGCGGAGAGCATGCAACGGGAAACGACGTTCAGAAGCAGCAGCAGCGATCACGATTCGGGTTCAATGAAAATGAGGAACAAATTCGGGAACGAAAGAAGTTGATTCTATGATAAAATCCATTTTTATATCTTTTTTTTTGTATTTACAGTACCAAAATTGGTATTCCATGTTACTCGGCTCCACTAAGTTATTTTTATAACATTTGAGCCTGCCAAATAAACGAAATGAAAAAAAGTACATATTCATCTTGATTCCATTATTTATCACCAGTCTCTGTACCATAATCTAGAGCCAAACACCGACGGACATCGATTTCCATCTATTAGTGGGAGGCTGCATCCACACCTGGATAGATATCGCACCCATCAACTCATGGACCGGGACCACTGGCTTTACTTCTCTTCCGCCTCATAAAAATCCCAACGACCTCGGCTGGGATCGAACCCAGTCACACTGGGGTGAGAAAGCAGTCACGCTCACCACTATACACCACCGGCGCCGTCGCCACGAGTGAGTGGCGGCAGGAATATGGAAGAAGTAAACAAAAACTCCTCGAAAGAGAAGAAGAGCTAGCTCGAGCGAGGGGATGATATGCCGTGAGGTGTGATTTTCGAGGCCCCCGATGACTTTTTTGTTCAAAGCTAGAAGCTCAGAGTTCACCTAACGTGAGTAAGAGCATGTAAAAGAAAACATTAATATGATTGACAACAAACCTCACTCGCGTTTTATCCCCCTTCGCTCACAAGCCGTGAAATGATTTGTTAGTAGGAATTCTAATCCATAGAAGAATGCTACGCTTGGCTCATTTCAGACTCGCGAGTGAGACTCCATCAAGCCTAGGTACCCTTTATTCATGTTTTGGATTTTCGTGTTTCTAAAACGGATCGATTTGAGGATTTAGTAGTGTCTCACCATAGTATGTCTTATGATTCTTTACAGTTTTACTGTAATAAATTATCCATCCGCTTAGTTCGAGACCCTGAGAAGTTGTCCAACCACCACCATCTCCAACGTTCGATCACCGAAAAATATTAAATTTATCCCTGTGTTCTTTGTTCTTTTTCCTTAGTTCCATCTATCATACCGAGAAATATCAGACCACGCTCTACGCTTGTAATTTTGTAAATTAAAAATTGGATTTCGACTCCGTGAAGCTACTGCGAATGAGCCTCATACTTTATATAACTAAAATGTATGAAAAAAAACAACGCTTTCATGTGTTGCTATCAACTTATCCAGCACACATCTACAACTCATAGCATTTCAAACGTGTTGACTTGAAAAGTTTAAATGCTGCCATGTCATCAGTTCTCAACACATTTTAATGCAGCAGCTTTTTTAAAGATAGCAGCTGATTTTAAATTTTGTTTCAATTTTCCAATTACCTGAGGTAAGTAACCGTTTTCGGTACTTACCTCGCTATATTCTTAAATATTTTAAATTCAAAACAAATATGATGAGGTAGAGAACTACTTCGGCATATGTGCCTATTTACGTCAAATCGAGCACAGACATCATTGATTTTGACGTGAACGAAACAATCGTACGTGTGGTACGATAGTTTTGTTCAAAAGCTACAAAACACGTAATTGTTAATCCTGGTTCTACTCGAGTACAACCATTTTTTCGAAAAAGTAATTACAGAAAAAAAAACTAAATCGGTGTCGTAGCACAAACAAGACCTTGGTGCCAAGTTTGTGACAATTTGCAATTACCTCCGGATGTCTCTCTAGCTCGTGCAGCACGGTATGTTCGCAAAATTCAAACACTAAATGCAGTCTTCGTTTCCGTCGAAACACTTCCAACAGGCATACTAAATTGGGGTGCTTCAAATTTTTCAACAGGCGTATCTCTCGTAGGGCTATTTTCCTTATCGCTGGATCATCCTCGGATTCCACAAATCGCTTAACCGCAACTAATGACCCTGTGTCACGGTCACGGCACTTGTAGACAACTCCGTAGGATCCTTCTCCCAAGCGGCTAAGTTTCTCGTATCGATCCATTCTGCTGCTTCCACGTGATCTGGAAAAGAGCGCAGATAAAATGAACATTGTCAGCAACAGATTTCTAAAGCGCTCGTTATTGGGAGGAAAAAGTTTGAATCCGGAACAGGAGAGCCCTAGAAGGTACTGCGCGGACAAAAGTTTCCCACAGACTGAACCCTAGGTGGTATGATGATCGAGAAAAGCTAAGAGCATAGGGCGATTTTTTATCCAGTGTTAATCTTAATTGAAAAATTGCCTGACCAAAAGGGGGTATTTGGTGTTATTCTCTGATTTTTCTACTTCTTAAGGGCAAAAGGAAAATAATAACAAAGAGGAGTGGAGTAAACTCCTACCAGAGATGCATTGGTTTCAGTAGTATATACAAAGCAAGACATAATAAGGAGGCTGATGGGGGTGTAAGGAAATCGTTATGCTAATACCGTTGCTTCTGTATATTACACTGGATTTTGTAGTGGCCTCGAACTGTGCTTGTTGCCTCAATGTCAAGAAAAGGTGGGGGCTAAGCAATACTATGTATGAACTCGAGAAAGGGAAGCTAGTTTTTCAAAATCAATAACAGTCGATGCAAAGAAATCATTAGGCAATAGGTTTTAAGCAACATTAAATTGAACAGAAGAAAGATTCAAACATTGTATTCAAGCCTATTTTGTTCTATTTTGGCAGTAATGAAGTTATTTACCTTTCTGCTAATGCTTTCAGGGCACTTCCCGCGCTTGAGTCCCCAGAGGTCCATCTGAAAGGAAGATTACTGATAAAATAGAATTGATTAAAATATGTTTGTAACATTATATGTTTTTCATCATCTTGGTTATCATTGACATCAACACACTCAATTCTTTATCCTTATCCAAGGTTGTTTTCACTTACCCCGCTATGAAAATTATTAAATCATTAAATGTTATGATAATATTTTGTACATTTAAATTGCAAAAAGAGGTTGTAAAGTATGTGTTTGACGCATAAAACCTGTCAATTTAGCTTTCAGAGAGTCACAAATACATACTTTACTACCTGTTCTAGTAACTTACAAGTACAACATATTATTATGACATCATACATGATTCCGAAAAACACTTTTATAGCGTAGTGAGTGAAAGCAACATTTAAAAAATATCATTATAAGGACTGTTCGGTTTATAAAACGGACATCAAAAGTTGTCTGTAACTTTTTCATTTTACATTGTACTCGTACACACTTAGATTTTTTCGCCGAGATGGGCACCACCGAGCAGCTCGGCATTTTCTTTTGCTGGATCTCAGTGAAAAAATTGCCGAGATTCAGCTAACAAACGGGAATTTTGCCGAGATCTCAGCTAACAAACATATTTTTTGCTGAATTTCCAGCAAAATAAAATGCCGAGCTGCTCGGTGGTGCCCATCTCGGCAAAAAAATCTAAGTGTGTAGTGTTTATTTGAGATATGTATAAATTATGATCTACTCAAAAATATGTTTTGCTTAAATTAATGATAGCACAGCTGCAAAATGAACAATCAAAGGAAGCCTTTATAAAAAATTAATGTTCAAAATACCAAACAAATAATAGGGGAAATGGATGTAATGTCGGCCTAAATGCCCCTAGTTTGAGCCCATACATAAATTCAGCAATCGACTAAATTTTCAATAGCGACCAAAATATTCATTAGTACCGTCCCAATGACGCGTTCACCTAGATAAAATTGAAAAATAGCAGATATTTAGCGATTGGCCCAATTTCAGATCCATATGCCAATATTATAGCCATTTCCCCTATTAAATATTTCCATCTTTTTGATTTCTCGTGCAAACAAGCAAGGTTTTTTTTTCAATTTTTATTTATGGGATCCTCTAGCGATATACACTAGGGTGGTTCAAAATATCGATTTTGCTCCGCGAAGCTCAATCGGTTCTGAATCAGATCCTGATCATTCTCCTAAAATTTGAACTCATTTGGTAGTGATATCATACTGCACTGGCCCTTTGAAGTTTGTAAGGGATTTACTATAGGAACAGTTAAATTTTTGATCACAATATACTAGCGTTTTATCATATTGATTTCGGAGTACAAGTATTCTCAGGAAATTTTTTCAGCTACAACTTTGCTGAGGACCACTTTTTGTTTGAAAGTTTAGAAAATTTGTTATTGATTGATTTAGACGCCAATAACATGGAAAAAAATACGAACTCCTTACAAAATAATAGAACATTCAAATTAAAGCTAATTTTACTCCAATACCAACCTTAATATTCAAAAAAAAAATGTGTTCTTTGCTGCGGATAATCTATTGAGTCATTAAAAATCTCATTTGTCGATATTAGAAGGAATTTAAAACTTTCATAATCCCCTTTGTATTCTACCCCGCAAATCCCTAATTCTTCATGAACTGTTTTATAAAAGCATAATATTCAAAACTATGAATAAAACAGAGAAAATGGGGTAAAATAGCCCAAAACACAGGCTCTTTAAGGCTCTCCGGCGTATGAAATCACTTGCAATAAATTCTTCAGCTTTAACCCTTCGGAAAAGTCATTGTTCATGGCCATAAACCAGCAATTTTTAATTTTATGTACTTTTAGACCCTTTTTTGACCACAAGGAAAAAAGTTCTAAATTTTTACCATCGCGTAAAATCTTCCCTCGTTTAATATTATGCAATGTTGCTTATTTATGTCATATTCCGCTTAAATTTACGAGAAATATTGTGTAAATTTACGCTACCTAAATCTAGCGTTAACTACGTGTGCGCTATATATCGCATAAATTCACATTATTTTTTCATACGGTGGCTGAGCTGTTGAGTGTTGAGCATCTTCCTTATTAATTAATTAATAATTATCTTGATGTTCATTTAAAAACTGGTGTTCAGCAAAGTTGTAGCAGAGAAAATTTTCTATAAGTACTGTCTGGAAAAGTTTGTTTTTTTGTTTTCCGCGTCCACGCCTTTCACCATAATGATTTATGGATAACCTTGTTATCTGTACCAGGGTTGCTTCCACTCACTTGCTATAAACATGTTTTTTTGGGATTATGAATTCATTAAACGTTAAAATGATAATAAGTTTTTGTAATCTTCAAGAAGAAGTTGTACAGTATGTGTTTAACTCATAAAACCTGTCAATTTTACTTTCAGAGAGTCACGATTGCCGATTTTACGATTCGTGAAGGCTCACTCTGAGTGAACGCTCATGAATCATTAAATCGCTTATTGTGACGCTCTGAAAGCAAAATTGACAGGTTTTATGAGTCAAACTAATACTTTACAATTCCTTCTTATAACTTACAAGTACAACATATCATTATAACTTCGAATGATTTCATAATTCCAAAAAACATTTTTTTATAGCAAGTGAGTGGAAGCAACCCTGGGTACAGATAGCAAGTTCATCCATAAATCATTATGGCGAAAGGTTAGGACGCGGAGAACAAAAAGCAAACTTTTTCCATAGTAATTCCCATATAAAGTTCAAATTTTGAGAGAATGGTCAGGACCTGATTTAGAATAGATTAATTTTTGAACCACCCTAATATACACATACAAGGAAGCCTTTAGGTAAAATTGTGTATTAATAATAATTGGTTGTTCTCCAGTTCTGGAGGTAAATCAGTTACAGCGACGAAATCCTTCCTGAAGTTCATAGATGTTCTAAAATATTCATCGAAATAAGAGCGATTAGAAAAAATATGAAAGTTCATTGAATTTCGTAGAAGTTGAAGATATTTTAAAAAGCTTGGAATTATCTAGTTGTTCAGGGAATGTTGCATAAGTTACAGGACATTCTTTCATATATTCTTCCTAGACTGCAGGAAGTATTCAAGAGATGCCCAGGTAGGCGAAGATATAAGTAAAGTCGCCTTATTTTGATTTTACACCAATTGATTGTTTTATGATCATGATTCACTGTAAGTTATGAATCGCTGTTCTGATATCTTTATCTTTTCGCTTATAACTTCAATATCTTGTTAAAATTAATTTATTTCACAATCGCATTCCGATGCATCGATCCATTGCCAAACCTCATGTTCTCCTCCTCAATGTCTAGTCATTGTCTGGTTACTCATGGCTAAAGTGATTCATACAAGGTACACACAACTGCAAAAAGCCCATGTCACTGGATTTCCCCATGCAACGAATGGACATCACTCAAATATCCTAATCAGCTGCAAGCGAAAAACAACCAGTTTTGAAGCACATCATGCTGACGTGGTAGGTAAGATTGCCGAGAAATCTTTTCTGGATTGATTTTTTTTTTCGAATTTTTTGCCCTTTTAATTACTATGTTTACATACCATTAACGATCAACATTCCGAAAGATAGAACTATTCCACTTATGGTTCAGATTATATCCCGTAAGTGTTTCATAAAGAACACTAAATATTGAGCAGTAATAAGTAATAAGCGGAAAAAATATTAGATCGAATACAAAATGTTTATGAGAATGATGAATGAAACTTGTGTAAACCAAAGACTGACAGAATGTTATGATGGATATATTCGTTATCATTATGTTTTGTTATCATCGTGTTATGAGGGTCGATAAAGCTTAAACGTTGGATATAAAAGAAATTTCTTCACCAGTTCATTCAGTTCAGTAGTCAATGTCTTCGGATTCCATTCAATTTTATTAAATCACACCAACCATAAAAATGAAGTTGATCGTCAGTTTTGCAGGGGCACTACTACTGCTCTCGTCCATAGAAGCAAACCCAATCATTGTCAGGAAGGATTTCGTCGCTGTTACTGATTTGCCTCCAGAACTGGAGAACAACCAATTGGCGAATATTGCAGTTAACGCTGAAACTATTAATAATTTGACCATTATTGTCGCCGAAGTGGTAAACATCAATGGCGATGGATCGATCGATGTAGAGAATCCAATCACACCAACGCCACCTCAGTTCGAAACCACAACTACTGGAACAATTGTACCCCCAATTACCCCAACCACTCTTCCTGGCACTCCGACTATACCGACAACACCGGGAGGAGGACCCATCATTACTCCACCACCGATCGGCAGGAAATAAGTCGGGTGCACCTCTACAACTCGTGTGATTTGATGATTGTTTGAAACAGCGTCTATGTGAAGGAATACACTATTGCAAAGTGCAAAATAGTACTGCATTATCTTGTTCCTCAAACAAACCGACTTTGTCCGAAACTTGCCTCAAAAAAAAAAAAAAAAAATGCATGTATGGTGAAATTTGACGTTGGATCACAAAACATATGAATTTTATCTATCGCGTAATATATTCCCTCGTTTAATTTTAAGATAAAGTTGGCATAAACAACGAAATTGTGTACAAGCTTTTATTCAACATAGCTGGTTTTTGCGAAATCACGACTAATATTACATGACATATCGTGTAAATTTACGCTTAATCTAGCGTTAATAACGTGTGCGCTATATATATCAGAAGCCGGTGCTGGTGGTGTAGTGGTAAGTGTGACTGCTTTCTCACCCCAATGGGTCTGGGAAGGGAAGTAAAGCCGTTGGTTCCGGAATGGGTACGATATCCTACGCAGGTGTAGTAGCTGCCTTTCTGCACATTCGATTGCCGTCAATGGATGGTAATCGATGTCAGTCGGTGATTGGTACTAGATTGCGGAACAGAGACCGGCGTTAAATAAAGGAAAAAAAAAGAATATATATTTCAGAAATTTAAATGAATTTTTCAAACGTTGTAGGCTGGTCCAAAAAAATAACCTCCAGATTTGTTCCTTTAGGCAAGAAAACCACTCGCTGAAAGTTTCAGATCCTTTGATTGTAAGC